CTCCGCCTCATTTATGACAGTCATTGCCACATGGATCTTAAGATGCCTATCTCACCGTAATTTCGTCAGACTATTATATCATGGAGGTGCGCAGGCGACAAGAGGTACAGTCGCGATGAATTTAGGTAAAGTGATGTTGTGTGAACATTTCAGAGACAATATTCAAAGTTACGTCAGCAAAACATAAAGCTATGTATGTACTCATCAGACTAAACCTCACCGAGAACAGCAAATGACGCAGAAGTTGTGAATCTCTGTTCTGGCTGCATAGTAGTGGTGAGAGTGAGCAAGCATAACGCTGCTACTGGTAAACTGAGCAAGACAGCAGGTGTACTCTAAACAACTAGGAAGAGTAAATATAATTGAAAAAACGAAGAGTTGACGTTACCTTCATGAAAGCATTCGTCTCGATATATACAAGGAAAGTTGTGCCTCCATAAATTGCTAATAATCGAGCTGGGCTAGGATTGTTCATAATCTAAAATGGCAACCTTCATCGAGGAATTGGGGTAAAAATCGATATGGCGACAATATAACCAATAGGATACTGAAAATGACACTCTGTATTCACCCCTTAATTTTGACTCCATTATCGAATGAGAACTCCGTTTCGCGTTTGAATGAAAGAAAACGTTCGTCCGTTATGTAAAATTTCTTCGGATATTAACTCACTCTCACTAGCCTCAACTCTAAGGAGAGTAAAATTAACACGAAATAATGAAAGCAAGAAGGTTTCTTTGTGCTTCGACTTCACGCACAGGCTGATACAAGAAAAGGGACGAATCAAGGAGTATCTGTTACGGAATTTCTTTTTCACACTTGGAATTAAAAAAAAACATTACAAGTAATTTAGATGACGTCGAGCACATGTCATGAAACATCAAGTATGGGAGCACTAAGTTGATCTTCTATCGAAGGAAAAAGGAGTTTGTTTGCAAACCTATGTTTAAACGAATGACTTAGTTATTTACTTGCAACTGCAGTAAAACTACTGCTATGTGGATGACACTGTGAGGCCCACACAGCTGTCACTCATCACTCTGATTTCTAATTACAAGCCCATTCCTCCATTCGTAAGTTCGCAACTGTAGTAAGCACCAGCTAAGCATACGTCACACATTAGTACACTTCAAAATTATCTCTTCTTCAACATGGGTTAACTAACGAGTTCATTTTATGCACATTTTCTTTGAGTTGGCTTCATTACCTTATGGTTTCTTATGGGGTTTCATAGATAAATTATTTGAGTGAGTCAAGCTAAGACTATCTACATCAAATATAAGAAAAACCAACATAATAGCATTATAACAAAACAAATTCTAGCCTCCCATTTTTAAATCATAACACTCTTATCGTACATGATGATGCTCTCAAACCTGATAGGGAGTTATTAGTTTAAATCTCTAACATTACTTTCTGGGAGATTCTTTGGGAAAAAACTCTGCATTGGTTTTCCGTAGAAAATGTGCTAGAAGTGCAAAGGCAAGTGCAGTCAAAGTACGCCCTTGTGCTTCTAGCACTTCCAGTTCTTCTTTCGTATTCCTTTTTTGGGCAGAAAGCGCTTTTCTCAGCTTTTCTCAAAACAAAGCACTTTCAAGGAAATCGTCTTACGTTGCTGCACATATAGCTAATTACTGATTTTGCCTAAGCGGATTCGTGAAACCCACTAAAATTTTTTCAATGTGAGTCCCCGTAACTCCCAGCTTGTCTGATTTCCCTTCCTTCTCATAAAATATCACATGTCAATGTAAACAACGAAACATAAACAGAGAAACTGTGACCTTGACCACTTTGCCATAAAATAAGCATTCTACAACCATAAATGTTTGCTTTCGAACGTATAAGTCCCATGTAACCAAAGGGTGTCGATCAACGCCTTTGCAGTATTTTTAGAGCACACT